GAGGTAAGTGCCCTTCGTGCTGACTTACTTCAGACGTGGGCAATGGCAGTTAGGAGGCTACGTTTTTCTAAACACAGAGGCCAGACCCCAGCGCGTTGTACTAAACGCCCCAGCACCGGTTCAAGAGACGTTCTGCCAGCTCAGACCTCTCACAGCGAGAAGAGAACAGCTCTGGGCTGTTTGGGGAGGCCTGTGAGGTCAACATGACTTATTTTTCTTTTCAACTTTAATGGAATGAGGGTTAGACCCTCATTCAGGATTAAAAAAAAAAACTCACAAGAACTTTTTAATTACATGTTTTGATTGCTGTAGTCTCTCTCTCTGTTTTTTTAAATCTTTTTTATCTTTTTCTTTTTTTAATTGACCTGTAGTTGATTTACAATGTTGTGTTAATTTTAGGTGTACAGCAAAGTAATTCAGTTATACATACATTATATATTCAGATTCTTTTCTATTATGGGTTATTATAAGTTATTGAATATAGTTCCCTGTGCTCTACAGTAGGTCCTTTTTGTTTATCTATTTTATATACAGTAATGCGTATTTGTTAACCCTAAACTCCTAATTTATCCCCCATCCCTCACTTTCCCCTTTGAACAGCAAGTTTGTTTTCTATGTCTGTGAGTCTATTTCTGTTTGTAAATAAGTTCACTGGACCCATTTTTAAACATTCCACATGTAAGTGATATCATGTGATACAAACCTCAATCAGGTTAAAAAAGCAGCTTTGCTGTTTTCAGGTACAGAAGATTCCGGCTCATCTTCTCGGGGTGATGGCTTCTGAGTGACCACATCATCTCGGTCCTTTACGCTAACCTCATTTCAGGCTCCACACCTGACCTTACAGCACAGCTCACTGGACTGGGCTGACGTCCTCCACTTCTTCCCACGTGGTCTATGCTTCCCTCGGTGTCATTCTAACCTGTTCTCAGGGAACACAAGTTCTAATGCGTAGAAAGTTGAAATTCAAGATAAAGAGAACATTTATCGCCTAAGAAAGAGAGGAAAACAACCACAAAGGAACCTAGGATTCAGGCATTCTGGTAGCAAGTAACTTTCTTAAAAATAAAGGGAAGTCATTTTCTGTTTTTGGCACTGAAAACCAGTTTGGCTACTTATTGTCCATGAAAGTAACTTAAACTTCATTGAAAAACAGCAAGAACAACAACAGCAGACCAGCCTTGTTTAATAATGCTTGCTGGACACTTCCTTGGCAGGGGTGGGGGCTGGGGGGCGCTAGGACTTTCTGCTTTCATATCTGTATATTGCTTGAGTTTCCTAAAGCAAGCTTGTATTACTTTTGTGATCAGAAAAAGCAATAAAGGGTAATTATTTCCTTGAGGGTAAAAATGTTGGGAAGGAATGAGGTCTTTTAGAAAACAATTTCTGAAAAGCTTTATGAAATTTCAGGTAAGATTCTATTTCTAGGGAGTTGCTGGGGAGCGTCAGGTTCCTAATGGAAATCTATTGAGCAGTGATGGATGGTTGAAAGAAAGTGCCATAGTCTTTTAACGGTGAGGAGGGAAGCCCCATAAAAATACCGGTAGGACCCTTAGGCAGGGCTGCTGCTCTCCTCCCAGCACCGTCGGGTTCCCTGGCCCAGAGGCTTTATCTCACTTTTTGCCTCTTAAGTGGCTAACTTACACCTAGAATTCTATTGGTTCCCTAATTGGTTATTTCCTTCACTCCTGATTGGTTATTACTCTCACTCCTGATTGGTTATTATTCTCATTTCTGATTGGTCCACTTCCCTAACTTCTGATTGGTCCATTTGTAGTACTTCATTTGCATGGAACTCACTCCTGATTGGTCTATTTCTACAAAGCTTGTTCCTGGTTGGTCAACTTCTGTTATACTTTATTTGCATATGATGTTGCAAAGTGTAAAACTGGCAGCCTATAAAAGGCCTGTGTAAACCTATAGATGGGGTCTAAAGCTTGTAGTGTTAACTGCTTTGGGCCTGGTGGTGTAATAAACCTCAGTTTTCCATCTCTCCAAGTGCTGTTTGGTATCGAACCTGGATCCAGGTTGCTGTGACAACTGACCTGTAACACCGGGCTGTAACACATTTTTCTGCAACAATGGGTAGGAGAACGTTCTTTCTTTGTTAGCAGAAGGGATCTAGGCCAAGTTAATGGTTACCACACCAGGGGAGAATGTCTACTCTGCCTTTTGGAAAGCCGATGAGAGGGGTTAGCACCATTGGAGGTGGGAAATAAACCAGGAGCCATATGGGAACACTTGACAGTTCTTGGTGTGATGCAGACACTCATGTGTGGGTAAGTCTCACCACCAGAATGGAAAGTTGTTGGGGATGACTTTAGATAAAATGTGGCAAAGGAGAACAGTTACAGAAATGAACTGAAATACTCATACGCAGCAAACATTAGCTTTTGGTCATTAATCGGTTCTCTTGTCACAAAGCCAGATTTAGCATTGGAGCATGGAGTTCAAGAAAGGACTGACTGTTGTGACTTACACAGATAGAATGTAGTTGGTGTCTACATACTAGAGTTGGAATTATTTATGACAGTTTAGAAATACTGATCAACAGACCAAAATAAAATTAGACATTTTTATAATTGTAATCATTATGGGAGAGGAAGAAAAGGAGTGGACTGTTCGGAGTTTGGGGAAATTTTTCGCCATTACTTCTGAGGCTCGGGAACTGAGATAGTGACCACTACCTGGGTCAAAGCCCACCCATTACTCCAAAAGCCCATTTTATGGGAGGGCTTGGCTTGCCTGACCTGGGTACCCATCAAGTGTCTGAGGACAGGAAATTGTATTGGGGAGGGGGTGATTCTCTGAGACTCACAGGATGTGGTGATCAAGGACTTACACTCCATGCATAAATGGGGAGAGGCAGCACTGAAATCAGGACAGTGGTATCAAGGGTGTAGAAGTTCAGCATGAGATCAGGGTCATAACCAGCAAAGAAAGTCAGGCTGGGTGCCATGATCATCTTAAGATGCCTACAGCTCTCCTTTTTTGGCTGGTGTCTACAACCCATTGAGATGAGCAGATTTAATGGAAAAATACAAGGAAGATATATTTCCAGTGGTTCTTAATCTGGACTCTTAGACTGGCTTCATGGAAAGTCACCATGGGAACCTCCTAAAACTGTCTGCAATATTTTGTCTGTGTATCCACCTTATTTTTTTCCTGTTATGCTCTGGACTCCACCTCTTGTCTCCTACTCTGTGAGATCTCATACGTGCCAAGACCTCTGGATGTCTCCAAAGCTGATGGTTCTTTGTGTGTCAAGAAAGGAACTGAGTTTCAGTCAAAAAATGGGCAGAACACCTAAATAGACATTTCTCCAAAGAAGACACAGAGATGGCCAACAGGCATATGAAAAGATGCTCAACATCACTGATTATTGGAGAAATGCAAATCAAAACTACAATGAGGTATCACCTCACAGAATGACCATCATCAAAAATTCCACAAATAGTAAATGGTGGGGAGGGTGTGGAGAAAAGGGAACCCTCCTGCACTCTGGCGAAAATATAAAATTGCTGGAGCCACTACAGAGAATAGTATGGAGGTTCCTTAAAAAACTAAAAATAGACTTACCATACGATCCAGCAATCCCACTCCTGGGCATATATTCAGAGAAAACTATAATCCGAAAAGATGCATGCACCCCAAGTGTTCATAGCAGCACTATTTACAATAACCAAGACACGGAAGCACCTACATGTCCACTGACAGACGACTGGAGAAAGAAGTTGTGGTATATATTTACAATGGGCTATTAGCCCTAAAAAGTAATGCCACTTGCAGCAACATGGATGGACCTAGAGATTATCATACTAAGTGAAGTAAGTTAGAGAGAGAGGCCTGTGATAGTGGGAGACCCTGATTGCTGCTGGCCACCGTATTTCTGGCCACGTGGGGAAAGGAGCCTAGAGTGAGGGGAACGAGGCTGAGGGCAGAGGAGGCTGAGATGCGAGAAGAATGGGAAAGACAGGCGGCATCTGAGTCCTGTTTCGGTGGTTTCAGCCGTGCCCCCACTTTTCCATGCTTGTGTAGGCCAATCCCTCCTGCCGTGACATCAACTGTCACTCTTCCAGTATTTCTCCTTTCTGCCTAAGATAGTAAGTTTTTGTAGCTAGCAAGTAAAATAATCTTCAGTAATACCATTTATGGGTAGAGATAAAGACTCAGGACATAACAAAGACCTGTAATTAATAAGTAAGGTGTCTGACAAAGGGAGGAAAAAAATTGCAATGGAAAAATTAAGACATTTTGTGTGTGAAAAACAAAAGAATAAGTAAGATATGAAGGATCCAAGCAGAGATGGGGCCAAAATGGGAAAGGGAGTGCTTGCCTCCCGAGGTCTTCAAGCAGAGGCTGATGAAGACGCCATCTGTCCCTCTGGCCAAGTTGGACTGTGATGTATCAGGTCACTTTGTTGCAGAAAAATGTGTTATAGCTCGGTGTTACAGCTCAGTTGTGACAGCAACCTGGATCCAGGCAAGAGACCAAGCAGCACTTGGAGAGTTGGAGAACTCAGGTTTATTATGCCAGCGGGCCCAGAGGAGTTAACACTCCGAGCTCTGGACCCCATCTGTAGGTTTACACGGGCCTTTATAGGCTGCCAGTTTAGACTTTGCAATGTCATGTGCAGGTAAAGAATAACAAAAGTTGACCAACTAGGAACAAGCTTTGTAGAAATAGACCAATTAGGAGGGAAAGAAAGAACCAATCAGGAGTGAGGGAAATGGAGCAATCAGAACTGAGCTCAGGGAACCAATAGAATTTTAGGGGTAAGTAAGCTGTTTCAGAGGCAAAAAGTGAGATAGAGCCTGTGGGCCAGGGAACTGGATGGTGCTGGCAGGAGAGTAGTGGCCCTGCTTGGGGGTCCTGCGGGTCTTTTTATGGTTTTTCCCACCCCAATTTATATGTCTGAGAGTCTGACAAAGATACTCCAATTACGTAGTGTTCTGTGACTCCCTCTATCTGCAGCTTTCACCCTCTGGTTTTTAGTTTATGCAGACAGATTTCAAAACTAGATAAAAATCACAAACCAGAGGGGAAGAAACAATATTAGCTGTCAGTGACCTACTGGATGGTCTTTAATGTGACTTCAGGACGTCCTTATTCTGGGACTTGTCCCCCAGATCGAGAAAAATTTTGTAGGATGAAGATGTTCTGTGTGGGACTCACGTGACAGTACATCCCAGGTGCTGTGGTATCTCAATGGCCATCTTCCGAATCACACCTGGAGAGGAGAGAGTTAAGTTAAAGCCCCAAATGAGAGAAATGAAGTAATTCATTGAACGGAGGGGTGGGAGGAGTGCTGGGTGTAGGTGAGCTTAGGGGAGGCTTAAATAGAGTTTTAATTATAGGGGCGTAAGGGAGGTGCAGGTGGCTGGCCACCACAGGGACGAGTGGACTCAGGTGTTTTACCCCCAGCCTGAGGCAGGTGGGTTGAGATGGGGCAGGAGGGACTCCAATCTAGGTTCTCCATTCACATGGCCCTCTAGCTAGTAGAGTTCATTGGCCAAGAGCATGGAAGTCTTCAACACCTCCTTAAGTGGCTTCGGGTTCTTCTGCAGAAAATGGACTTTCCTTAATCACTGGCTCATGTCTGACCTCACAAGGGTGCTTGGTGGTGAGAAGGTGTTGGGAGTGGCGGTTGGATTGGTGAGGGAGGCAGAGTTAAAGGTGACAGTGTGACATGACAAGGTGGGATGAAGAGCTGGCTGAGGGACAGGACAGCAAACATTATGGCTGAAAACAGTTTGCCTAAAAGCAGATGGCAGAGAACAAATTGGTCAACACGACCATTTGGTTGAGACGACAGTTGTGTCAATTGTAAGCCCACAATTGTTTCAATATTGGTAGTTTTTGGGCACCACACAGATGGCTTTGCAACCATTTTTTTGGTCAATTTTCCCCCAGATTTCTTTCCTCATTCTATTTACTTAAAAATTTGAATTCATTTCCAGCACATTTTCCTCGGAACACAGGTGACCTAGACCTTTTGCTCCAAGGAGTGGTAGCATCTGAAATCGGGGGGACATGGTCAAATTCGAGAGTTAGGACTAGAGCTGGAGTTGAAGAGCTTGTGAAAGAGGATGGGGTCAGGATGTTGGGACGGGGCTGGATGGGGAGGGGGCTGTCAGAACCTAAAACTAGCAACCAAGAGGACACTCAGAGCATAGGCCATCATGGGCTTGGGTCCAAAGGTTAAATGGTCAAGGTGCAGTATTTCCAAAATCATGACTGTTGGAGGCCACAAATTCCTTCCCATAGGGAGCATCCGTCCTGACTAGTAAGATGGTGGAGAGAGCGCTTGACTATATCCAAATCCCGGGCCGTCTGCAGGCTCCCAGCAGGTGAGAACTCTCTTTCCACTCTTTGGGTATAAGTCAGGGGCTGATGGGAGACCTTGAAACCAAAAGAAATCTACCAGCAGAAATGTCATGCGAAAAGGAAGAGCCGGCCGTGGCTATGCCACTCACAATAACGTCCTCTCCTGCAGGAGGCACATCCATCCTCCGGCTCAGCTAACAACTTGCAAGACCTTCCACTCTGGATGTCATCGACTACCGCTTCCGGCGAAGCAATCTGAGAGCCTGTCGGCACACGCGGAGATGGCCCTTCTGCAGATGGTTTATAGCCTTTTGATTTTATTTAATATGATTCTATGAATGCTAAGTAAACTCATTCATCACACCTTCACTGGGTTGTGGGATCCACGCAAACACATCACAGAGTCTCTGCAAGTCATTCTACGGCAAACACCTTCTCATTGAAAACCCGAGGACCAGAGCTTGTACTGCGGTTGAGTGTCATAGCAGAGTGTTTTTAATTAAAAAAGTAATGCACGCACATGTTCCAAATGTAGACAGAATGGAAGGATGGCTAATGAAAATAAAATTCTTCATCCTGCTCCTGGAGCTCAGTCCTCGTTCCCGGAACTCCTGTTATTTCCAAGGGGTTATGCTTACGCTGTTGCCCTCCAGAAATTTCCATGCATGTATACAGTTTTGAATTAGCAACCAGCATTTTTCAATTGGTTATTATGATTTTTCTCCAATAACTCTGTCCTGGTAACTGGCCGTGGCACCAGGGCAGGGGTGAAGATGTCACTGCTGCAGTAAGGAAGGAGCCGTCCCAGGGGCACGAGTCCAGGAGACGCTGCTTAGCCAGGGTGGCAGCTCTGAGCTGAGGGCCAGAGGGCTAACAACGGAGATTGTCAGCAAACAGTGGAAAGCTGGCTTCCGTCACACTCTCCAAATGCACCACTGTATTGTTATTGGTTGCCGATGGCTGTCTCTTTCTGTTCAGAGGTATTACTAGACTGTCCCCTAGACTGAAATAATGTCATGCTGGCAACAGTCAGGTTCCCCTGCCATCTCTGGGACACGAGCAGAGTGTTTTCATCTCATTTCATTTCCCTTGCGAGGCACGGGAGGAAATACTAATACGGCCCTCACCCTTTGCAAAACCCTTCCTCGGATGCATGTTGGAAACTGTCTGTCTTGGCAGTGAATTTATAGCTTGTGAGGAGAGGAGGCTGCCGTTAGAGTACAGTGAACGTCACGAAGCTTCACTATTTTTATGACAGCTGTCCAAGGAAAGATGAAAATCCTGAGGAAGTCTGACAGTCGTTCCCCCGCTGCCCATCAGAGAAATCAGGCCAGACCACCCACTAGAACGTGCTCTGATCTGTTGATTTTCCTCTTAACTCATGGAAGTCGGCTTTGAGTTACACATACACAGGGAAATCCAGGAGATCTGTTTATTCTTAGGGGTCCCTGGAAAGCCGCGTCTTCACAGCAGTTCATGCATTTACAGAAAACAAACATATGGCTTGGTGGTGTGTTGAATATAAATGATATGCATGTTTCTATTTTGATGTCTCTATCTCAAACCATAGATTATTCAAGTTGAAAGAGATGGTAGAGGTCATCCTTAAAGTAGTAGATTTCAGCTACACGGTTCATTTGAGGGTGAGAAAACAAAAGCCTGCAGAAAGCCCGAGGAAGCCAAGCCATTTGGCGACAGAGCCAGGCTGGAAAGCAGGCAGGCTGCTTATCCTCGGTTCCCCACCCCCACCCTAGCAGGACCCAGTCTCTGCTTTTCTCTGTCTTCTCTGTGCCCCTGGAGACTAACCCCCCAGAGCAGCATCTCCTGAGCTCCCTTCCAGGCTGGCTTCTGTTTGCATTTGGCCATCGGGAGGCATTGGCACTAGATGAGAGGGCTGGGGGAAGACAGAGAGCCTGGGGGTGTTCCTCCTGCCTGCTCCCTGTTCTGACATCCTGTCTCTGGTGCAGCTGTGCGTCTTTACAATGGCTGCTCCCTTCTCTCCAGTTCCAGCTCTCATCTGTGCTCAGTCATCCCGTTGGTCCTAGGGATGGCGACACTGCCCTCTGTGGCCAGCCTTTGGATTCCCCACCATCTCCTGTGTGGTCCCTGAGCCCTGCCCATGCCTCTGGGCAAGGCAAGGAGTCCTCTCACTAGAGTTTTCCATCCGAACTGTTCTTCCTGCCGTGTCCCTGATGGATACACCAGGCGTCCTGAATCCCCGTCCAGGCTTTTCTTGCTTCCCCGTGTTGACGTGTGTGGGCATCTATGCAATAAACCCCCATCACAGTGCTTGGCACACAGAAGTTGGCCAACACTTGCAGAGTGAATTAATGGACGCGCACACACTAACTGCAGCCTGCAAAAAACATGACAAATTCTGAAACGGAATGTTGCCTAATATTTGAGCAAAATGTATTCATGTTGAAGCTTTCCTAAAATTAGTGAGCAAAAGTGCTGAGGCCCACGTGCTCTCAGGAGCGACAAAGACTGTCTGAGGGAAGCACCACAACCTAGCAGAGACGCAGCCTCCCTGGGGCTCCGTGCTAGCGAAGCGCGGCCGGCAGGTGACTTGCACACACGGAGCAAACGAGAGCTTGTCTGCCTGACGTAGAAAACAAACTTACAGTTCCCAAAGGAGAAAGCGGGGGAATTGGGGATTTGCAGATACAAATGACTGTATATAAAATAGATAAACAACAAGGTCCTCCTGTAACGCACAGAGAACTATATTCAACACCTTGTAATAACCTATAATGAAGAAGAATATGAAAAACAACATATGTGTGTATATATATATATAACTGAATTACTTTGCAGTACACCAGAAACTAACACAACATTGTAAATCAACTATATTTCAATAAAAAATTTAATAAAATAAATAGAAATTGCCTATCTGAGCAGGGCTGAACATAAGCCACAGCGGGAGATAGTCTGTGAAGGTTTAGAAATTTCTCATATCACATCCTTATTTTAGCAGAGAGATCTGGGGTGGAGAGGAGTGGAATGAAGGTGGGAGGCTGAACACTGGTCCCTAAAGTCCTCAATCCCCTGCACCTGTGACTGTGTCACCCCACGTGGCAAAAGGGACTCTGCAGGTTAGATTATATGAAGGATCTGGCCACAGGAGCATCACCCTGGATTGTCTGAGTGGACTCAGTGAACAGATGCTCAACACCATTAGCCATTAAGGAAACGCAGATCAAAAGACCATGAGATACGCCTCATACCCCCTAGGATGGCTGGAACCAAAAAGACAGCTGTAACACGTGTGGATGAGAATGTGGGAAAACTGGAACCATCATACATTGCTGATGGGAATGTAAAATGGTGCAGCCGTGGTGGAAAACAGTTAAATGTTTTTCTGAAAATGCTAAACATAGAATTACAATATAATTCCACCCTTAGGTATATTTCCAGGAGAAATAAAAGCATATATCCACACAAAAATGTGTATACATGAATGTTCGTAATAGCCAATAAGGGAAGACAACCCAAATGTCCATCGCCTGGTGAATGGATAAACAAAATGTGGTATATCCATGCAATAAGAATGCTATTCTGCAAGAAATGGATCACTAACGCATACAGCGACACAAATGAACCTTGAAAACATTCTAAGTGAAAGAAGCCTGTCGCTAAAGACCACGAGTGTATGATTCCACTTGTATGAAATGTCCCAAAGAGGAAAATCTGTTCAGATAGAAAGAGATCAGTAGTTGCTCAGAGCTGGAGCATTTGGAGCGGTGGGGAGTGGGGAGTGACTGCCTGCAGGTGGGTGTGTGGCTTCTTCGGGGGACAGTGGAAATGTTAAAATGGACGGTGGTGATAGCGGCTCCACTGTGTGAAGATCCCGAAAATCACTGAATTGTACACCTTAACTGGGTGAGCTGTACAGCATGTGGTTTAACTGAGTTGTTTAAAAAGACCACCACCTAGTTAATAAAAATATGTAACAATGAAAGAAGACACATCTGTAATGCCTAAAACTGAAAAGGGAAAAAATATTTAGAATAAATAAGGAAATACTGCAAATCAACAAGAAGAGGATATGAATTGTCAACTTACAGGAAACGCAGAGTAACCATCATGTGAAGAGATACTTTGACTCTTTCATAAAAAAGAAATGCAAGTGGAAACCTCAGGGAGATCTCCCTTTAAATCTGTTAGAAAATTAGAAAATTAGAAGCTGGCTATTGCTAGTGCTGGCAGGGATGTGGGATGTGGGAACCCCTCGTGCACTGGTCAGGGGTGTGTAGACAGATACATCATGGGGGAGCAATCTGGCAGAATTCAACCGATGAACGCTAGGTTCTTCATCAGTTACTGCTTCTGGGTACACACACACACCCACACACCCACACACCCACCCCTTGGCTATGCCCTGATGGACAAGCAGGAGATTGTTGGCAAGGCATGCATGTGTGCATGTGTGTGCGTGTGCATGGTGGGGAGATGAAGCCAACCACAGCGCCTAACCCTGGAGGGTGGAGAGGTAGAATGCGGCAGACAGACACGGCATGCAGGTCTGTGCAGTACTTAAAAATGATGGAGGAGATGCTCACTTAGCAGCACGGATGCGTCTTAAACAGTGCAGCATGAACAACGTAAGCAGCAGCTATGCAAGGCAACGCTAGTTGCAGGAGTCAAAAAGGCACACCCCAGGGAATGTGCACTATTTAAAGATATGTTAAAATAAAGGATGCATACCGACCCCCTGGTGTGGTTGACTTGATGGGGGTGGTTGAAATAGGGATGTAAAATGGGACAAAATAAATAAGCGAAGTGAGAGGAGGGAGATAATTTTTAAAATAAATGAGAAGTTCCTGTTCTCCCCACTGGCCAGAAAAAGCAACTCAGGAACTTGAACCCACCCTGCATAAACTCTAATTTTAATGAACTGAGGTGGTTCCTGGGCCAGAGCTTTGGAGCTTCTGTTCTGATTGGTTTGGGATGGGAACAAGGATTCTGCATGAACAGACTCACTTTGTGATTCTGACAGAGGTGGCCCCCGGTCCACTTGGGAAACAGCCAGACAGACCTCACCCGCCGTGGCGCAGATCTTTCTCCTTGCCAGTTGCTGAGGTCTGGCCTCCTTTGGGCCTGCGGGGAGTCAGTCACTCCTGTCCTGCTGGGATCTGACACCTGCTCTGTGTAAATGTGACCTGGCCCCCACTCTGGCTTTGCCTAGTGGACATGACCTTGGCCCCTGACTGTTTCCCTCACTGGCTTTCGTGATGGCTGTCACCCCAGCTTTATGCCCATGGTTCCTGGGACCCCATCCCCAGGAGCCAAGCCCCGCTCTCTGGTCTTTGTTGCAGGTGAGAGCTTGTCACCTGGGCCTGGCGTGAGAGCTGCCGCGGGCCCAGCCAGCCTCCAGGAGCGCCTCTGTCCATGGCGGGCACCCGGCCACTGCGGTTTGCCTGGTGCAGGGTTGGGAGTGGGGACGGGCAGGTCGGGGCTCTTCCTTCCGGGTGGCACACGCCACCCTGGCCAAACAGCAGTGGCTGCCACGTGGTCATCCAGCCCCAGAGCCATTCCGAGGGCATAGGGAACTCAGAGCAGAGACGAACTGTCCCCTCTGAGAGCTGCCAGGCCAGATGACATGCCCCTAACAGTCACCCCTTTATTTTTGAGGAGCAGAGCTGCATAATGTAGGCCCCGGAATCCGGCCCCATCAGCCACAGAAACAGAGGCCTTTTCTTTGGCGGGCTGGTGACTTCATTATACATTCCAGGGCCGCGGGAAGCGGGCTCAGCCTCTCTTCCGCCGCTGGGCCTGGGACAATGGTTGGGAAAGCAGAGGAGGGGGCACGAGTGGGCTCTGGCCGAGACGAGGCAGGAAAGCGGGGTGGGAGCGGGTGAGCCGCACGTCCCGATCCCTGATCGCCACGCGGGTCACGCCTAGCCCCGGCCGTGCACAGAAGCCCCTGTGTGTGGGGCTCAGCTGGGCCGGGGGCCGCCTCCTTCCACACCTCCCCATGGAGGAGGAGGGGACAGAAAAGGGCAGGTAGGGAGAGTGAGGGCGGGGCGGCGGCCCGCGTGTCCGTCAGCCCTGGTTGTGCCCTGGTGGGGACAGGAGTCCCGAAGCTCCTAGACACTCTTCCACCGTAACAGGAACCATGACACCCACCTCGCAGGATGGCTCTAGGGTTAGATGTTACAGTAATAGTCTGGACTCAACAGTCTTCCCAAACACTTTGCCGTGGGTCAGACAGAGGCTGGCATCGGGGACCACAAACCGCAGATCACACATCCAGGATTTGTGTCTCATTCTGACCACCGCAGTGGTGGACAGGCACCATTCGCCTATTTACAGGTGAGGAAACGGAAACCCAGTTATTTCCGGGAACAAGTTCGCAAAGCCGGGTTACCTGGCAGATCCTTTACCTCCAAGCTGAATGATGCGCGCCCTGTGTCCACAGTGTCCCTTCTCTGTTCTAGGTCCCAGCTGTTTCCCCAGCTGGAAATCCTGCCCCTTCCAGAGAACTCGATCTAGTCCCGGCGCCCACATGAAAGTGATTCCTTCTCAGCTCTGACTGCTGATGCCCCAGTGCTCAGCCTACTTGGCCTCCTCCACCCTCCCTCGCCCCAGGGCAGACGGTCACCTTACTTCCCAGCTCTGGCTCTTCTGTGTCACCCATCGCTCCTCTGATAGCCTGATTTGAAATGGTCCGAGTATCCTCTGCCATAGATGCAGCCTCAGCCAGCCCACGGTTGGCAGGCATCCAACCCCAGCCGTGGACTCCGACTGGCCACTGTGTTCTTGTGTATCCAGTGCCTTCAGAGGACAAATGGCAGCATTTCCTCACCCTGGGGGCCGCTCTTGGCACTTTTCTTGGCATGAGGCAGGAGGTGAGTCTCAGTACAGCAGTTCTGGACTGCAAGCCTTCTTATCTGGAATTGAACATGACACGTCTTGCAGAGATCCACTTGGTAGAGTTCCAGCCCTGCATCCTCAGGACTCGGGGCCCTTTCCTTTACTAACTGAACAGCTGAGTGCATGACGGTCACTGAGAAACCGTGACTTTCTTTGTGATATAAAAGTGAATCTACTTATTTCAAAATGAAGGTCAAAATCCAGAAAACCTTCTCACACCTGCAGTCCCTCAAAGCTCTGGGTGTACTCAGCACACACTAAGCAGCAGTTCTCAAACCAGTATCCAGCAGCATCGCCCTGGGAACTTTCTAAAAATTCAGATTCTTAGGTACCACCCTCAGCAGATGTGATTCAACAAGAATGTGATGGGGCTTAGCATCGTGTCTTTGGCACACTTCCCCCTCAAATGCTTCAGATTTATATGGTCTGGAGAACATAATTGGAAAAAGAATTAAAAGGATTCCTGATTAGGGGATCAGCACCTCCCACTGAACAGCAGCTTTTGCTGTGCTGAATTGGTTGATTGGTTGGTTGGTTCATTGGTTAGTGCCTGGTTGGTGATTGGTTGGTTGAGGTTTGGCTGGTTGGTTGGTGGTGGTTTGGTTGACCAGTGGATTTGTGTTCTCAAAACTATGGCCAGAATTTCTGCCCATTTTCTCCCATTTGGCTCCTGCTGTCTGTATGAGAAATTTGGGGTTTTCACTGAATACTTCCATTCCATCTCTGCCTTTCGCATCACAGTAAGGCCTTGGATGGCTAACCCAGGAGGAGCATTCTGCAGTCAAGTTTTTTCCTCAAATCCGTGTTCGAAACCTGTGCTGAGTTGTCAAAGAACAAGCCTGTTGCCTTCGGCTTTTGAGTTACGTTCCTCATCACTTCCTAGAAGGCTCTGAGTGTGATTATAGCAAAGAGCGTACTTCTTAGGTGAAGTCACTGCGATGCGCAAAGTGTCCAGACATTTGGTCAAACGTTCTGAGTGTGTGTGTTTCTGGATGAGGTTAATATTTGATCAGCAGACTGAGTAAAGCAGTGCCTCTCTTTAATGTGGGTAAATCCATCCAGTCGGTTGAAGGTCCAGACAGAACAGAAAGTCTTCCGTGGATAAGGTGGAAGTCCTGCTGCCTGGCTTCTTCTGAGTTGGAACATTGGGATTTTTTCCCTGCCTTTGGACTCAAACTGAAACAGGTTTTTATAATACATTTAGATAAGTAGCTCAAAGCCCGCTCCCATTGATTAGAGAGAATTTATAAGATGAGCAGCTCAGACTTCCTAAGAGAGTATTTCAGTGTAAAATAATGGACCTTCACCACTGAAAATATTAAAGCTCTACACATTGGGATGAAGTAAAGAGCAAAATCTTCCATGCTCCTCAACCCGTTCCTGTGGCTCACTGACCATGGACTTTATCACCTATAAAGGAACAGCCCAGAGACGGCAAGTGTCACCTCTGAGGACACGCTGGGGGAGCCAGGACCGCCCTGGGCAGCAGCTGCTGTGCAGTGTGTGGGTGTGTCATTATCCCGGACTTCTACCCGGTTGGGTTCATAACTGTGTTCTGAAATGTCACAGGATATTAGGGGCATCTTTCCATGCCTGCCTGCAATGATTTAATTCATTTTTTCCTTCATTTCTTTATCTTGAGAAATTTCAAGCTTACAGAAAAATTAATTTTTTTCTTTCATAATTGAGATTTTATTGGTTATTCTGAGGATCAGTATGCAGACATTTTACTTTGTACATAATTCTTAACATATGTACCAAAAATCTAAAAAAATCATGTGGTTGTGATTCTTTTCCAGTCATTCCAGTGACTTTCCAGCTGAAAATTTGGAAGCAAACTTCCTTAGCAGGACATCAAGTACCAATATCGTCAAATGTTGATATGCTGTCACATCGTAAGTCCCACCGGTCTTCCAATTACAGAGTAAGGCAACGCAATTCTGTATTCCTCTTGCCGGTTTTGCCAACATTTTGTTAGCATTTTGCCACATTTACTGTCTCTGTATCTCTCTGTATAGCGATTGCTGTTACTGCAGAGACACGTAGGAGTGAGCTGGGGACGTCACCACCGTCCTCCAGTGTGCGTCTCAGAAAACAAGGACAGCCCCTTACGCAGGCAGTGCGCAAATCATTTTCAGGGAATTTAACATCCAGACGATGCCGCTATCTAATATATAATCTGCAGTGCAACTCCACCAGTTGCCCCCATGATGTTCTTAATTGCAATTTATTTTTTCTCATTCAGGATCCTGTCGAGGGTCATGCATTTTGTTTGCTTGTCACGTCTCTTTCAGCCCTTTAATCTGGGAATGTCGCTCCTCTTTCTCTGTGTTTCATGACACTGTGATCTTCTGAGGCACATAGGCCGGTTGTTTTGTAGAATGTCCCCCAATTTGAGTTTGTCTGGTTGTTCCCTCATTATTAGGGTCAGGCAATTCATTTTTGGCAGGGACACTGCGTAAGTGATGCTGCATTCTTCTCAGTGCATCACACCAGGGAGCTCCTGACGTCAGTTTCTCTCAGTCCCTTTCCTTTTAACAACTGCTTAATGTTAATTACATTCCATCCTGAGGGTGTCATATAACCGTGCCAACCCTGCCTCCGTGGATGAGCTCTTAGGTTGTTTCTGGTGTTTGGCCAATGAAAGCAAAGCTGCAATGAACATGACAAGTAGTGTCTTAAATGTTAGAATAATTAGAATGAATGTGGTCAGGGAAATAAGACAGAGAAGAAAGAAGTCTGGAGGGTAGTGGTTTAATTTAAGTAGACTGAGGTGTGAAGCTTGAAGGAAGGATGGTTGGCTAACATGGGGACTGGGACACGTTGGTAAAAGACACGGTCACTTTGGCTGCAGTAGAGAGGATGGGTCGGAGAGGCAGGGAGATCACTTTGGAGGCTGTTCGAGCAGCCCAAGGAAGAGAGAATAAAGGCCTCAAGTTGAGCAATGGTGGTAAATAGATGGAAAGAAAGAGAACGATTATTGAACACAGGAGAAGCACTGACACACGCTGCAACTTGGATGAATCTTGAAAACGTTATTCTTGCACTATTGACAATAGTGGAGACATGGAAGCAATCTGAATATCCATCGACAGATGACTGGATAAAGAAGTTGTAGTAAATATATTCAATGGAATACTACTCAGCCATAAAAAGAAGAAAATAACGCCATTTTCAGCAACATGGATGAACCTAGAGATTATCATCCCAAGTGAAATAAGTAAGTAAGAGAAAGACAAATATCATATGATATCACTTATATGTGGAATCTAAGAAAAATGACACAAATGAACTTATTTACAACGCAGAAAGATACACACAGACATAGGAAACGGACTATGGTTACCAAAGGGAAAGGGGGAGGGAGGGATAAGGTGGGAGTTTGGGATTTGCAGATACTCACTACTACATATAAAGTAGATAAACAAGGTCCTACTTTATAGCACAGGGAACTACATTCAATAGCTTGTAATAACCTATAATGAAAAGAATCTAAAAAAATTTAAATATGTGTAAGTGAATCGCCACGCTGTACACCAGAAATTAACACAACATTGTAAATCAACTGTATTTCAATAAAAGAAAGAAGGAGAACGTTATGCTCAGTGAAAGAAGCCTGTTGCTGGAGTCCACAGGTTGCATGATTCTTTTTAGATCTCATATCCAGAAGAGGCAAATCCAGGGAGCAGAAAGCTGACTAGTGGTCACCAGGGGATGGGAGTGGGGGCAACGGGGCGTGGCTGCCTAATGGGGAGAGAGTTTTTCGGGTGAGATGAAAGAGCTTAGAAGCTAGAGAGAGCAGAGGTGGTGTTTGCACAACGCTGTGACCGCACAGACTGCCGCTGAATTGTGCCCCTCATCACGGTCAACTGTGCACGTGTGAATTCCAGCTCAAAAACAGGAGGCGATATAAAGCTTCAGGACACAGGATTTGATGGACATTGTGAAGTGAGGGGATGGCAGGGAGAACTGGCTGTCTTTCAGATTTTTGGTTTAAGCACTTGGGTGGAAGGTGATTCCACGAACTAAAATAAGGTTTTCAAGGAAAAGAACGGCTCAGAATGGGAGAAGAAAGTGATTTGTTGCGATGTTTAAAAAGCTATTTATATAGTAAAATATCAAGTATACACAAAGGTCACAGAGTAAGGTAATGAAACCCAGTGTGCCCATCACTCAGCTACTGGTCAGTAAAGACCAGTCACAGCCAGTGGAGCTTCCTCTGACCCCCACCCACCTCCCACTCCCATTTATTTTCAAATAAATCCTAGACATCATATTCTATCTATCATCCATTAATAGTTTAAGGTGTCCTTCTGAAAGATGAAGAATTAAAAAAATTCAAAATACCATTATTACAACAAAAAGTTAACAATGATTTTTTAACATGATCAGGTAGTCAGCCAGTGATCAAATTTCTAATTGTTTCATAACTTTTTCTTATTGTTCCTTTGAGTCAGGACCCGTTATGATTGAAGGCTGTGTTTCTCAAATCTGTTTTTATCTATAAATTCTCTCCTTTATGATTTTCACATTGAGAAATTAGATTATTTGTCACATCGTGTCTTCTGAGGTCTGACTGCTTCCGTATGGTGTCTTTGACGTGTAATTCTGTCCTTTATATTTCCCATAAGTTAACTGGTAGTTGGGTCAAGATGATAAGATCTGAGTTCAGTTTTTTAACAAGAATTCTTTGTAGGTGATGGTGTGTTCTTCCCTCAGGACACCTAATGCCCAGCTTCCCTTTTTGTGTGTGTTTGTGTGATGTTAGTAGCTGTTGCTGATTGATGTCTAATTAACCCAGACAACCAGCTCCCAAATTCCTGACCCTCTGAAACTGTGTGAAAAAAAATAAATGTTTATTGTCATTCTAAGCCATTAAGC